ATAAATTCAATTAAATTAAATTACAAAAATTTATTTCTCACTTCCTTAACCTTCTAAGCAAAAACAAAGAAATCAATGTATTATAATATAACAGAATGGCTAATAGTTGATTTTCCTCAAAAATTGCTGATAATAAAATAATAAAGGGATCCTCGGATCTCTTAAAGACTGCACTAAAATTGTAGTTATCAGCATTATCAAAACTCTCTTCATACCCTGTAATCCCTCTTCGCCTCGCAAACTGCGCAACAACAATGAGCGAGGGTTGAGCCCAGGCAATGAGCAAAGCAAACAACGGAAACAAAAAACACAACACAAGCTACAACAACAGCCACAACAACACCTAAGCAGTTGGCAAAAAGTGAGCATCTGACGCACAAACGTGTCGCAAGTGGCATAAACTGAAAATCACGTAGCAGACATTTGGATGCAAGTTGCGTATACGCCGCATGGGACCCAAAACGTTTATTAGCCGAAAAAACAACACGCAAGACTTTGAGACAAAGTGACAGAAGGAGTAAGTGAAAATGCGCTCTATAATATATCTATATATAAATTTTAGTTGAATTGTAAGTATTTATCTAGGGTTTTGTCTAGAATTCTGGGTAAATGCGATGTAAAGCGCGCATTAGCGTGCAGAGCGCTCAATTAGCCAAATTAGCGTAATTTTAGAGTTACAGTGCACACTCGCTAATTGAAACATAGAACGATAAGATGTGGAAACAATTTATTAAATTTCGAGCAAATTTTACATATTAAAGCGTAGCCATTACACTTAACGAGCAACCACTGTGGCTGAAATAAAATATTAATGAGCTGTGCACGATGAATGATGAGCTAAGCTGGCGAAAGAGCGGGTCGCCTTTAGCCCATTAATATGTCATGCATAGCCATGCCCAAAGGGAGGGAGCAAGAGAGAGAGGGAGTGAGAGAGAGGGAGTGAGAGAGAGCGAGGGAGTATAGCAGGCGACGCTTTGTTCTTTTATTAAGTGGCAGCAGCGTGTCCTCTGTCAAAGCGCACACAGCTGAGCTCGTCTCACATATGCAAATTAAAAATGCCAAGCAAAGATTTTGATTCGCATGCGTTGGGGATTGCCAGAGCGTCTGCCATCCATGCGGGCATCCATCATGCCAACTGCAGCCGACAGCAGCTGCATTCAATTTGTCATTAGCTAACACACACGCTGCGGGGCTAACTGGCGACGGACAATTGACATGAACCTGCCCCAACACCAGCAACAACAATCTAAACTGATGCCAGACTAAAGCTACTCTATGCCAACATCCCCAAGCATCCCACCCCATCCCCATCAGTGTCAACTCATTCACGTAAACTTGTTTACTCGATTCGCGTGGGCCCGGATGACGTCTATTGCCTGATTCAGTTCCGCATACGCGTTGCCTCCAGATGCTGAGCGTATTCAAGGGCAGTTACGAAAATCAAGCAGCTTATGAATGAATTAGAATTAGAATTAGATTAAATGAGAGTTGGAATGAATTATTAGAGTGAGGCAGAGAAAGAGAGAGAGAGAGAGAGAGTTGATTTGTTGGGCTTATGTAAAGTTTGATCATTCAATCAGCACCAAAGACCAAAATCGATAGGTCATAGATTAAGTAACTTGCATTAGGTAAAAGTTCGCTCAGTTTCTTAAAAGTTACGAACTCTGAACAAATATTAACTCGTGGTTGGAAATATCAGTATGAAATATTAATTTTTATTCATTTAATTACTTATTTTAATTTTATTTATTTTTTTGAGTGAGTTCATTTAGCCATGTATGTTTATGAACGCGTCGTTCTTAGATCCCTTAAAAACTAAAGAATGATTATTATTTTTTCTATTCAGAACGGTGCGCAGCAGGTGAATGTTTGTTTTCAAAAATTCAATAAATATTTCCTTTTTGGTATTATCGATCAAAAGAATTATATAGCATTTACAAATTAGACAAATATATCTCGTACAGCTCTATAACTAGAGTCTCCAAATATTAGATATAGACTTCCATAGATGTATTTTTTTTTAATTTATACCTATTAATTTTTTTTTGCTTCATATTTTGGAAATCTACTCTAGAGAGCCTAGAGCCTTGTGCGTTAGCAAATACACACATTTTAATATTATCATATTATTATCACGACCTATAAGTTTGATTTTGATAGACGCTCTATAAGAGGATTTATTCAGCAAACAAATTTCCCACAATATAGCCCACACTGCAGCCCAAGCCCAGTCGCTGCGTCCACTGCGTAGTTAGTTAAGAGAGCGCGGTTACGTGTGTGGGCATAGGTGGATGTATGTGTGAGTGTTTTAATTATGTGCACAAAAAAGCGCAGAATTATTGGAATATCAGCTCTTTGGCAAACATTATATACTTTATTATCTCTACAACTTGCTAAACACTCCTCGACATTTATTTTGAATAGACAACTGTGCAAGTGTACTCGCATGGTCGGTAATGATATCCATTCATCTATCTTCAGACACGATATTCGTTTCCATAGAAATATTGCATGAGTGAATGCTGAAAACTGTGCTACACTTTTCACTTTTCCACTCTTTTTATTGCACACACACAGAGAGAGAGAGAAATTAACATGAAAATGAAAATCAATCGTAGTTCCAAGAAAACCATGATTTGAGTGAATATATCAGATTCTCTGTGAATGCAAACACAATTAAGTGCAGGCAATCAAGTGTTAAATCATTGACATGAAAACCAATTATGAGAGCTCTATAAAAAACATGGTCGGTGCTATAGGGATCCCTAACGTGGGCTTTATAAACGTTTGCTTAAGAGCCCTTTTAATGGTACGCCCAAGCTGCTAAAGGCAGACCCAAGGGTTTTTATTCCCGCCATGAAACTGCGACGCAGTTGTCCGAGTTTTAAGGGCTGAGTATGGATGGAATTTTTGAGAGAGAGAGAGTGGCCGGGGTGGCACTGGAACAAAGGAAGCGAGAAACTCTCGCTGCAAATGGACAGCTAATTGACAAATGTGTGCTTGGATGAGCAACAGCTAGCCAGCGAGTCAGCCAGAGAGAGCCAGTGTGTATGCCTCCAAAAGGGCAGCTGGCAATCAGGTTACAAGCTAGGATATAAAAAAAAGCATCGCCCACTGAATTAGCTTCTAATTAGAGTTTATTGTCTTGCGCGTGAGTGCGTTACAGTGTGCGTGGGATCACTTAGAACCATCTCCCGTAAGTTTAGTAATTTTATCAACTAATGACGCCATTCGAGGTGTATATATAAATCGCAATTGGTTTTATGTTCAATAGTTACAGAAAACGAAAGCAAATAAAGCAGACGATATTAGATATTGTGCGTAGGAGATGAGCTCAATCTGTTTAGGGTATATAACTAGGTCACATTTTTGTGCTGAGGAAATATTTTGTTAATTATATTTATATAACTATATGTATGTTATATAATATTTGTGTTTCATATAATATTTGTTAATATACATATACATAGATATTTATAATATATTATGCGATTAAACTTAAATGAACAGTGTTCATTTTTTAAAATATATCCCACCCTAAATAAAATTTAAAAATAAATATTTTTGTCCCAAAGTACAGTTCAAAAACATATTATAAAATTAAAATGATAAAATAACACACTTAAATTTTTTACTAAAGGAAAAATATAAATATATATTTATTTATTAAAACAATGCTCAAAATAAGTATTAATAAAATAACAAAAAATTAGTATTAATATATAATTTTAATAATATAAATTATTATAGATTATATATTAAAATTTGTTTTTAATAATTTGAATAGATAAATGTTTTTCTATTATATAAAAAATGTTCAGACTAGAATATACAATCATACACTTACCTCAAAAATAAATTTCAGTTATTAACGGTCGCTTTTTTACAGATTGATTTATTTACTGCAACTGCTCAACTCTAAGCGTAAATCCATTACAATTGTTTTTTTTTTTTTTTTTCAAAATATTTGGCAAAACTCTAAGCTGCGCTAAGGCTCGGCTCAATCAAGTGAAATCCTGAATCAAATTGAAGCGTAATTATTTTTGCTTTGCTGCGGCGCATTTCCCCTTGTGACGTCGCCAATCAAATGGCGCAACTTGACTATGGCACTGGGTCAGTAGCGCAGCATGGGAATTTACTCATGCTGCTGCTGCTGCTGCCGCTGTTGTTGTTGTTGTTATTATTGCTCGTACTGGTGGTGTTTACTTGGTCTGTGCCAAGTAATCAGAATAATTACGTGGCCCTAATGGGCCGAAGGACGCGCTACGTCAAATGCAAAACAATTGAAGCAGTTTACAGTTGGCAAAGCTCTAGACAGGCAAATAAAAGAGCAGCACCAGCATCAGAAGTGCCTGACCAGCAAATACCCTGTTTTTTACTTATATACAAATTCAAATACAGTCGAGTCTCGATAGTTTGTAGCCCACTAAATCAAAAATCGTGATAAATAAAAAAAAACCCAATAATTCTCGATAATTAGAATTTCTGTATAAATCGAAAAAAAAAAACCTGATGATTATCGGAATTCTCTACTGAACGACTAACTTACAAATGTTCCGTTAACATAGCTAATAAATTATGTTAAGGCAGCTTTAAATACTGCATTAATAAACAAAATAAAATAAAAGATATAGATTCATGACATTTAACAATTAGAAATCAATTATCGAAATTAATATTTCTTAAATGTCTTCAAATTTTTGTTTCCGGATTCATATGCTACCACTAAAACAATATTCCTCCTTTTGAAAGCAACCAAATCAATGAGTAGCGGTCATCAAAATTCTTGTAATGCGCATTTTGTGCAAGTTAAACATCATTATGCGTTCATTATGTTTTCAATCAAAGCTTTAATCTTTCACTAAGCTTCTATGGTTCGGCTAGCGGCACTTCAGCGACAACAACATCAAGTAACAATAACAACAACAAACCCAATAGCCAAGCAGACGCCATATGCCGGCAAAGAGGAAGAAGAAGAAGCACACGTGAGTACAACTTTTGCAGCACACAACTACAGTAACAAGAAACGGAGTATGTAACATAAAAGTAAAGTAACAAACGTAACACCCACGCGCACCGTTATCAATGCGTTACTGTTATCACTTACGCTGCCGGCGCAATCAAAAGTATTACAAACGTGCGCGTGAAATTTTACGCGCGATAACTCTTGCAATTTTGCGCGAACCCTACTTGCTGTAGCTATACGTCAAATGGAACTGACGCCAAGTCGGCGCCACCTGCTGCAATGCACCGTGCCTCCAGCAAGTGGCTCCAAAAAATGCCAAAAATAATTTAAGGAAAATACCAAATTAATATCCTGTGTAGCATTTCCAAATAGTAAAGTACGCGCGTCATTTCAAAAAGGACTGTTACAAGAACTCTTTTAAATCCAACAACTAATTATTTGAAGTTATAAGACTATATATATCAAAACATAAACATTAAAATTCATTTACTACTTTATTGCTAAATTAAAGACCCATTTAAATATATCGAAATCATTTCAATTTCGTGGATGTGCAAAAAAACAATTCCATTTTATCTATTTCTTTTGTAGCCAGATTGTCACTATGCCCATTTAGTGTTGTAAATCGAACTTAGTTAGCGAACAGCTGCTGCGTTAAGGCTCTGTAATGTTTCCATAAATATATCAATATTGCATTTTTCAGAAAGACTGTGTCAGAGAGTAAAATATATTTATTTACTTGATATACAGGTAAAAGTTTTTTATCGACATTAATTTGTATTATTTGAGCCAATCAATTATTGCGCGCTGTTAGCAGTTAGCAGCTGTTAACATTTTAGGGTGCCCACATCTGCCAAGCAAAGCAATTAGTGTTGGTTAAAACATTGTTTGCTCACTTTGGTAGCATGTTCGCTTGAGATACAACTCCCAAGAAAAACAACAAAATTGGCAAAAACCGCGTGCAATTCGGTTAAATAAATATTCACAACATCTAAGCGCGGCTTCGCAGCAACATTTAAACAATATGCAAGCAGCTCGAGAGCGTCGCTTGACTGCCTAACTGTGGCTGAAAAAAGTGCGCGTGTTTGTGTGGCCCTGTGAAACAGTGAAGAAAAAAGTCGCCGCTGCCCCAGCGAGGGTAACTGGGCGCATATACAGAAAACTATACCCCAAAATAAATTGGCGCCATTGTAATGCACCATGAGCCAAACAACAACCTCAACAGCAACAAAAAGCGAAATGTCCAAAACAAATGAAGCCTTTGATGAGGAGCTATTTGAGACGCGGCTCGAAGCGCTCAAGGACACGCAGGAGTGCATACAGCAAATGTCCAGCTGGTGCCTGCAGCATCGCATCAATCACAAGAAGATCATCCAGTGCTGGTTGAACGTATTCAAACGAGGTGCGTACCAATACCTCATCCACTTATATTATAATTGTTAGCTAAGATCAACCTTTTGCCGCAGTTCGAGTCGATCATCGTTTGGTTCTGTTCTATCTGGCCAACGATGTCATCCAGTACAGCAAGCGCAAGCGGTACGAATTTGTTGAATGCTGGGCGACGGCGCTCCAAAGGGCCACCACTATGGTGCGGTAAGTAGAAAAACTAGTCGACTAACAGATACTCTATGAAATTATTGAACCTTTGTTGAGGCTTTCCTGCTGATTTCACTAAATTGGTTGTTTAATTTCTCAGTTCTTAAATTTAAAAACATTTTACTTTAAGATATTTTTAAATTTTTCAATAGAGTTTCCATAGTTGTTTGATTGCATTTAAAATAGTTTTCTTACTTCTTGAAATAATATTTTAACCATAATTTCTTATCGACCTAAATATACCCTGTATAAGTTAGAATTTATAATTATTTTTATTAATGAATAATTTTTAATTCCTTTTTGCATAGCGACGAACGTGTGAAGAGTAAAATCTTGCGCATTTTTAAAATCTGGGAACAGCGCGAAATCTACAACGAAGAATTTCTGAGCGATCTGAGCGGCCTTCTTAATATAGCGCCACCCAAGAAAGCCCCAGCCAGCGCAGATCCAAGTAATGAGTATCAGAATGCCACGCTCATTGCGCAAGTACGTGAATGTGTTGAGCTGGCCGAGACGACGGACAAGAGCATGAAGAAGCTACCGAAGCCACCGAATTTCGAAATCGAAGCCATCAAGCAACAGCTGAAAGACAAAAGCCACTCGGGCGACATCGAAAAGGAGGTGGAACGCTGTGTGGCCTTCATCAATGCGTACAACAAGAATCTCCAAAACGAGATCAAGAGTCGCAAAGCAGTGCTGGAGTCGATCGAGGCAGCCAAAAAATTCTACGAGCATCAGGGCCGTGAGGTTAAAGTTGTGGCAAGCGTAAGTTCACACAAAAAGTTGATAGATAATATACAAATTAATTAATAAATATATTTATATTAATTTCAGGCATATAAAAGCTTTGGCACACGCATTAAGATAGTCAAGCGGAAGCTGGACGAGGTTATACCAACGCTATCCAGTCCGATACCCTCACCGGATATCAATGCACCCTCACCGGAACGAGATGCAGATCTCCAGCTGCCGGATGAGAACAATTCACCGCTGGGCGTGGTAAGCAATAAAACACAATAAATATACATGTGCTTCATATTGTGTTTGTATTTTAGAAATGTAGAGTAAATGAGTACAGTGATCGCTCGCAAATAGCAACACTTCGCTTGAAGTAAACATTTTAATTTACAACTGCTTTGGGTTTATGTATAAATATTTAGATTGAAATTTATTTAATTTTCAGTATAGAAAACTTTCGAATTACAACAAAATAGTTAAAGTAGATAATACACAATTTTTACAGTTATTTAACCTGATCACGTTTTCCAAGCGATCACTATGCAATATTTTTTATCAATCAATAGATTATATTTTTGATGTAGTCTTAATGTACTTTATGTATCGAATAAAATTGGACAGTTTATCCAAGTTTTATTAAATGATTTTCTTTATCAATTCGCATGCTAATCTTTTTATTTTCACCACTAATATTCAGAATAAGGCGATATTGGGAAACCTCCTATATAGTTCTTCTGGTTTTTATGTTCCTCAGAACTTGTTCAGCGGCAGCGGTCTTAATGGATTTGCTAGCTATCTGGATGGCGGCCAGCTGCCGTTCGATATCAACGACTTTAAGCGTGAGTCGAGCGGCAAGGATCGTGGCAGTGCCATTGAGGTGATTGGTTCGCGTTCGGATGACGAGAGCTATACGCCCGGCTCCAATTATTATAAGCCCGAGCCGTTGAGCAGAAGCTACAGCAATACCAATGCCAACGGCAACGGCGGCAGCGTTATACCGGGCCTGGGTGGCAGTGGCAACGGCGGAGGCAGCGGCGGCTCCAGCGATGAATACAATCCCAGCCAGGGGGTCTCAGCCTATGGTGGTGTGTTGCCACCACCAGCGCCGCCCATATTCGGTGGCCCGGCACAAGAATATGCGCCGCCACCGCCGCCGCATCTTGGCTACGGTCCGTCGGATAGTCAGTATACGCCCGCGCCTTTGAGTACCAATCCGATGGCACCGCCGCCGCCGATGCCGGCGGCCATAACGGCGTCGGGCAGCGTGGACGACTTCAACAGCACCTGGGACATGAGCATGACCTGGACGCCGCACGACACCAGCCTGAACAGCAGCGGTGCCAGCTCCAGCTATACAGCACCGACGCAATCGACGCCGCACTCGCCGCCCCACTTCGAGCGCAAAGGCAGCAGCGCGCCCATTGAGTACAGTGAACATCATAATGTGTCTGCGCTGGGCGCACAGGATGTGGATCATCGAACGATCCAGCTGCCGCCGGCATTCAATTTTCGGGCCAAGTCAGCGCTGAGCGATGAGCAAACGCGGCAATTGGTGGACATTGATCATAGGAATTTAATATCGCTGACTGGTTCGCCAGGCGGTGCCGATAAGGTACAGTAAAGCCTGATTGTGTTTAAAGGCTTTTCAATGCAACTGCTTGTTATAGATTGCATTTGGTCTGGATTTGATTTCTGTAAAATCTCTTTGAGCAATTTAATTAATATTTATGCCTTTGCAGGACTTTGGCGTTGGCGATGTCGATTACCGCAAAGCGCCCAAAACGGAGGAGGCCGGCAGTGCTATACGCAGTCTGGGCAACAATTCACCCATGATGGCGCCGCCTGGCAGCTATGTGAAGAAGACTAGCTCGCCGCAGAAATCCAATGCGAGTAAGATCAAAGTCTTTTATCCACATACGACGGCATCAATTTAAATCCCATGTGTTCCTACAGGCTCCTCTTCGGAATCAGATCGGGTGGATAGCTCGGCACGCTATGATCCCGCAGATATGGTTGTCGATATGGACATGTCCGATGAGGATCTGGAGGAGTCGCAGATAGGTATTGGCAAGAAACGTTATTAAGAACAAAATCTCTTAGATTTAGTGGCAAATTTGACATGTAACCATTTCCATACAGAGCTCAATGCCAATGCGGAGCAGCTGCATCTAGACAATGCCGATGGTGAACTGGATGCCAATGGCGCCTTAACTCCCCGTCCCGTGCTGCTAGAAACGCCGCAGGACTTTCAATGGGATGCTAACAACAGTTTTCTAACGGCACCGGGCGCCGGCAACATGCAGGACATGCAGCAGCAGGCCGATGCACAGCAACAAATGCAACAGCCGCCGCCGTTGCCGCCACAGCAACAGCCATGGAATCAAATGCAACCGCCAATGCCCTGGAACGGCAATGAGGGCAACAATGGAGCGGCTGGTGTGCCGCCACCGCCGAGACCGCCGTTTACAGGCGGTCCGTTTTCGTTTCAGCCATTTGGCAACAGTCCTGATAATATGAGTCGCGGACGTGGACGTGGTCGCGGCTGGTCGGGACCGTATAGACCCAATTATCAACGTATGCCCGGCCCCTTTGATGGCGGACCGGGGCCAGGACCGCGTCCGTTCTTTCAACGTGGCGGCGGACCCATGCGCAACAATGGCGGACGGGGGCGCATGCGTGGTAAACCTTGGATGTAATTACGTATTATAGCTTCAATATAGCATACACATACACACACCCACGAATAGCCACACAAACACACACACGCGTATGGAAGTGCATAGTTTATTTTAGTTGTTAGTTGACTTTATCTCATTTGGATTTAGCCTTACGACACATATACAGCCCCCAACACACACACACACACACACGCGCGCGCGCTTAGTTTTAATTATCTTGCTTCAAAGCTGTGGATCGTTGGCTATTTAATAAACTATATAGAAGCCCACTTGGACGCAACAGTATGGACATCAAGCTAAATGCGAGCTATGTTTAAGCATAAAGTTTTATAATTTCCTGATATAAATACAATATAATATATATATTATATACATATATACGACAATTTTGCACCTAGTCCCCCTTCACGATTTTGTCTTGACTCTAATATATATATATATATATATATGGTTAAAATTATGGCATGCATACCTAGTTGGGGTTATACTAAAAGAGATGCATCTGAGAATTTATAAAACAAATTTTTGGAGTGATTAGAACAGATTTGAAGAGTTTAATAAACTGCATCCACCATCATTACGATGTGAATTTTTGGGTTTGTCTGGGTCGTACCTCAATGAACTCTTGTTGCTTTTATGACAGAATATTTTGATTTCTTACAAACCCCCAAAGTTCTGTGCCAAATTTCTGTTTATTTCCCATGTGGCCTATAAGTTTTGAATGAAAAGTCAACGATACAAATCTCGATATCAATTGCTCTCACCCCACACAGACAAACACAAAGTAAAACACACACTTCAAGACTTGTTTAGAAACATATTACAAAAAATTTCCTTTAAGTTTAGAGTTGCCTTAGTTTATAAATATTATATATACTTTAAAAATATATATGTAACCTAACTTTAGTTAACTTCAAACATTGCTTTTAGTTTTCAGACCTAGACGTAAGCAAAAGTTTAATGTAAATAATATAAATGTAATTATTAAGTTAACAACTAAATGTATCTAATTGAGCTTTGGTTTTGCCAAAGTTTTACGCTCTTCACTAAATGTCTACATACAAGAAATATTTAAATTATAACCCTCTGTTCGGATAAAAAAAAGAAAAATCTCGTTTAAAGAATTTCAAATTAAATAAAAATTAAATTCTTTTAAACATTCACTCGAGAGTAAAGGGGCGCATCTGACAAATAAATATGAGCAATTCCTTTAAATTTTTCACTGGACTTAACTATGTGGAATGACTGAACGCACGTGTGTGGGCGTGACATCAAAATTGACATTTTCCAAACGAACTGCAAGACTGATCCGAGTTTCCACTTTGGAGTCCCAGAAAAGCATTCTACAGGGGCATTGCCGAACATAAGGGGGTAACTTCCAATCACAAATGAAATTCTCGAGCAAAAGAACTCTTATAATCTCTCAAGTACAAACTCTGCCATAAGCAAACCAAATATCATATCATCGTCACATGCCAAAGCCAAATAAGAAATGAAAAACTTGTGAAGAAATTAAATAGAAAATAAAACTTATAGTCAGTTGAACAGAAAAGTCATAATTGTATCAAAATAATATTAATTAATACTAGTTAATACATAGATAATACATATATATGCGTAAGTGTAATTAAGTTTAGTAATGTATATTTAGCTGTTTAAATACAAACCTTAAATGTGATATTTAAAATTGAAAAACCTTTTTTTATTTAATGCGCACAAATTGCAGTGCTCAAATCAAATTTCGTGTCCTGTGTCCTGTGCGGCACAGGATCTAAGGCAGCATTTAGTGTTGTTTACCTGTTGACGTTGACGGCACTTAATCACCTCCAGTTAGGTGAGCTGGTTCGCTCTCACTGTTTCTTCTTTTTGTTCGACATCGGAAGTCGGAACTCATCAATCGTCTGTCGGCGAGCTCTTGTTTTGACTCGGCTTATATTTTGGGGGCGTTACGCCCGCTGCTCAGCATATTGCGTTCTCAAGGACCTTTTTCTTTGGGTTTTGGGCAGGGTTACTGCGATAGCTGGAAATTGTGAATTAATGAGCCAAATCGTTGGGTTAAAATTTTTATATAGTATTGTATATGTGGAAACA